TTTTACGCGTTTGCATTCAGTAGAACCATCTTTTGCTGGAATTACAGCTCCAAGTCTGTTGTCCTTTATCAGCTTTGCAACGTTAGATAAACTTCTTTCTCCATTCTTCTTTATAAATTAGCTCAACCTTATTTGACTGAGAGAATCCATAAAACATCAATTTTTCCAACTCTCGACAGAGATTCTCGGTTGGATTTCGGTTTGGACTTTAACTGGGCCATTCTAACACAAGAACCCACTTTGATCTAAAGCATTTTGTTGTAGCTCTCAATGAATGTTTGGGGCTGTTGTCCTGTTGGAGGGAAAACATCTGGCTCCATTTACAACTTTTATTATTTCTCTATTCTATCTCATATCAACTCTGAACTCTGCCGAAGAAAACTAGTGGAGTTGAGGCGTTCGTGGTTTGTGGCATTTAGCCCAGAGAGTTACATTTTGGTGTTATCTGACCAGAGTAACTACCAACACGTCATCCCCTGTACCACTTGTGGTACACTTTTAATACGGCCTTTCTTTACCGATGATTCTCTTCTCGACTTGTCCTTTCAACAGATTCTCCCACCTAAGCTGTGGGTCTTCGCTGCTCTTTCAAAGACTCTCTGATTAATGCTCTCTTTTCCTGGCCTGTGAGTGTAGGTGGAGCGTGGAATATTGTTTTATAATCCAACCCTGCTTTAAACTTCTCCACAACTTTCTCCACCACCTGTCTGCTGTGTTCCTTGGTCTTTATGATGCTGGTTGTTTTTTTTGGTTTTTTTTAAATACCTGAACAACAGCCAAAGTTCGTAGTTTAATCATCATTTATTCACCTCTTCAACACACAATTGTTCCAATATCTTTAAACCTGTAGACTCTGGGTGAAGGTTTAACACTCGTTAGATTATCATAATATTGGCTCGCAGACATCCCTCTGGGTCCTTTTTATGCACAACAAAGAGAACAAAAGATCCTCTTACTTTAGAGGGAGAAACTGAGAAGGATGATTCAAAAGAACCAAAATAAAAAATGAACAAAAAAAAAAAAAAAAGGTTAAACCAATGCAGCACTCCGTCTCCATCTCTTGTTCCAGCTGGGCTCTGAGCAGAAACTGAAGTGTAAACACAGTCACGGACGCACAGACAGATGCTGCGAACAGACACGAGCGCACCCCGCGAAAGGCCGTTTCCCCCGCTGACATAAAAGGCGCGGAGTCAGAAGACGGAACCGGCGCAAACACAGCCCACAACCACGCAACAGCCGCACGTCTCCTGCAAGCGCGTGCAGACACGTGGAAAACCCAAAGCACCACATCACAGCGCACGGACTGCACGGGTCTGCACCCATGGCGTTTGATGCAGCGACATTTGCAGGTTTGACCGTTGCCGAGTCGGGCAGACGACCCAGCAGTCCAGCGCTGCCCTCAGCCGAAGCGAACGCAGAGGGATCAGGTTGTGCTGGCCTTGTGCTTTCTGCACCGCAATGTAGACTACATCATCTCACCTGACAGCACAGTGACTGCAAAGCAAACACGAGCCGCATGTGAGAGACAGACGCGGAAACTCCCTCCCAACGCCCGCGCAGGGACGAGAAGACATCCTGGTCGTCAAGGAAACCCTCCACCAAGTTGTTACGTGAGGACCCCGACGGGGGTCAAACGCTCATCTGAGCTACTTTTCATCAGTTGGGGGTGAAGGGGGCATGGGGCAGATGATGGTGGTGATTGAAAGGGTGAGGAAGGAGAGAGGAAGAGGGCTAGGAATAGCTCCTCCTCATGCCTCAGAGAAAGGGAGCAAAAAAAAAAAAAAAAACTAAATAAAGTGAGGAGGAGTGAGACTTTTGGTGCTTTCTGTACAGTCACCAGATCAAAAAGCCATATGTGAGCAATAAGCACGCACATAAACAACATGCTGCACAGCAAAGACGTGAAGGAAGGCAGATGAGAAATAAACCACGAAGCAGGCTTAACAGATCTACGGATTACTGCTGACTGACGTTCAACACATTTTAAGTGTCAAAATTTCAGAGGTTTCAACACTCACATTTTCATAGTCCTTTATTTTTTAGACAATTATAGGCAGGTTACTGTGGATTTGTGGCAGATATTTCAGCAGTGGTCAAATGTTTGAATGTGGAGCCAGCAAAAACCAACGACTGTCAGGAAATGTAGCGAAGGTCGGCTGGACAAATAGACACTGGGCAGACAGATGGACTCAAGTAAAACGGATGGATGGATGGATGGACAAACCAAAGAACAGATGGATGAATGAATGGACGGATAAGTAGCTGGATGAGTAGATACGCAACATTTAGACACTGAGACAATGAAAAAAAAAACCCAGACTAGAATTAAAAAGATTTTCCTCACTCTACTTTATATTCCCATCATCATCATCATCATCATCATCATCATCATCATCCAGACCTGAAAGTGACCCGGATCAAATTCCAAACTTTTCCAGACCGTGTAGGAAGCTTGTAACAAGTCCTGCACTGTCCCCAACCAGGAGCTGCATAACAAATAATAAAAGGACATCTGTACTGCAACTCATTTTATGCTAAAGTCTTCAGCAACAAGTGGCTGTAAGCAAGATTTCAAGGCAGATGGTTGGAAAACTTCTGGAGAAGAGTCCATTTTAAAATAGACACGATTCTAATGAGCCATAAACGAGCCTGTTTTGTCAAGTCTGCTCTTGCTGTCACGTTGTTACTCATTTCCAGCAGTTCCTGACCCTCCTCCTTTTGAGCAGTCACAAGCACAGAACCGGCACCGGGTGTAAGCAAACTTTACAAGCAATCTGAAATTGACAGATATTAAAGAAAATTATTGATGGCTTTAAAATGATCAGTGAATACATTAAGAGTGACTCAGAAATTTGTCCTCAAATCCCAGAGGATTTGAAACGTCGATCATTAAAGACAAGGATCGCATCCCACGTCTCTCTAACCATACAGCCAGATATAGATTTAAAGAAAAGCAGCAAAAGCAAACGAGCTGGAATAGCAGTGCTTGTCAACTGAACGAGTCATCCAGGACATGTTATTATTGTCCCCGGCAACAGTGTCTTCAATCAGAGGCTTCTTCAGATTTGCATCAACACTGACTGCTACTGGAGGTCCTTCATGCCCCGCAGCATCACCGTCCACAATGACTCTTTCTTGGGTGATATGATCTATGGTGCGTTTTATTTCACCTGGGGATAAAGTATTTTTGAAATAAAAAGAATTTCTGCCGCTTGTGTCTGAGCAGAGAAACATGTTACATCATAGCGGCTTGTCAGTGTACGGTAGCACTTCTTCTGTGGTGTCTTGTAATCACAAGGAGAACGGCTGAACTAACTCAGATGCTGAAAGATGTAAGTAAGACAAAAGCTTGAGAAACGTCACGTTATAATGTGAACTGATAGGTTTTCTTGTCTTGTAGTGATGTGTAAGTTAAAAAAAAACACATCCAGTTTATTTAGTGTGATCTGAGTAGCAAAAGAATATTTCAGCGTCTAATTAAGATTGTGCAATGTCAAAGGTACTGTGACGATTGAGATATTATGGGATTCTGAAACCCCACATTTTTCTGTTGTTCTTTTAGCTTTTATGGGAACTGGCATAATTAATACTTGTGTATATGCTAAAGGGAAATAGCAAGCAAAGGCAAAAGTATAAATGAATATGTTTAAAAAGATGTTCACTTGTATTTTGTACAGCCACTGCAAAACATCTGGGAGGACACCGTTCGGATTTCAAGAAACGTAGGCAACAACTGAATGCAGACTGGAATATCCAGATTTCATAACCAAAGCTCTTCTACTTTCATTTTGAACATGAGAAAGCACGCAGTCTGGCCAATATGCATCATCATGACTTTCAAATCCAAACAAGGCTTCATGCAGAACATCGGCATCCCCCACAACATCAGCCAAAAGTCAGCGTTAGGCACACCCGACACCATAATAGTCATTCCAGTCAACACCAGAAGGAAGAAGAGAACCCCACTGGTCAGCAGTCAGACTGAAAGTTCATTCAAACACATTCTAGCTCTGTCAATGGGGTCAAACTCCAGCACCAACACAAAAGTTGAACCAACTCAAAATGAATTTCAAAAATTGTCAAAAGTCCCCTGTCCTTCATGATGTTTACAAATTGTGCTTCCTCGTGTCATTGACCTAAATACACCCAAAGCATACATGTTTTCAGTTCGATTTGGTGGGTGGGGGGGGGGTACATAACTGGATAATATCTTTAATTTGTTGTTGAGTTGTGCTGGAGTAGCTGGTGAGCTTAAATTCCGGGGTTTGGGGAACCCAACGTGAAATCTGCTTAGGGTTTTTCATACAACCTTGGAGCAGCTCTGCATTAATAAATAACTGCTCGATATAACACACCGAAGAGCCGAGCGGGGAGTCGTTAAGTCACAAGGGTCCCTGTGCAGGAGCAGCGGCATGCAGCCCCGTGCAGCCCCGAGGCTCGAGCAGCTGTGTCTGGGCTGCATCACAGGGAGACACTGGGCGCTTTGTTTTCCCCCCCCCAGGGCAAGGCAGATCGGCGGGGGAGCGGGCTTCAACCCGAGTCTGTGTGCGGTTGGACTTCCTCGGTGTGTGGACGGCCTGCAGCCTCGCTGTGCACAGGTCTCCCCTCTGTCCGTCCTGAAACAGTCGGCCTCAGAGAGCAGCGGGACAGGGTGGCACAGCCAACCAGGATGAGTGGAAAATTTGAACTGCGCCGAGGCAAAGCTGTCCGAGGCGCCCCCCCCCCCCCGCCCGTCACACAGACTATCCAAAGGACGTCTCACTTTCGCTTCTTCTCCTGTCGTAATTAAAGCGTGAAAAATAACATCAAAAGCAGCAGTCGAGTCGTCTCAAGGAGCCCCGCAGACAACAAAATGCGAAGCTCCGTGTGCGCGGACGAAGGAGAGCGCCGGATAATCACGGCTCACTCAGGAAACAGCGAGAAATTACCCACAACGTGGCTCTGACTGGGGCATAAACCGCACCTTTGTGAGACCACTGGAAAGTAACTCACGTTTGTACTTACTCAGAGGAACCGGTGTGGCTCGGTCCACTGGAGGAACAGCCAGACAGCCGGGTCGTACGGTCTTCCGGGGCTGTGTGCCGGGGGTGAGAGCGGAGCTATGGAGACTGGGAAGCTGAGAGCTGAGAGGACTGAACGTAAACTGTGGCCTGCGTCATTTCATCAGGATGCCACTAATGCGCGGCGCGCAGCAATGCAGCCATCTTACCCCACCGACTCACCAATCACTGCTGGAGCCGAGCTGCTCAGAGCCTCTGGAGTCGGCGGTGACTGGGGCTGAGGGTTGGATCACACCTCTTTCTAATGCGAGGGATCCAATACTCTTAATTTGACCAACGTGACTGGAAATAAATAATTCAAATAGTGGCAGGAATTAACCGAATATTAAGGAAACTGTAATGCGTGCAGTTTTGAGGGTAGGGGTTTAAGGCTAACACATTTTTCATGAAGGTTCATTAGTAGACATAAGTAGAACAAAACTTGCAACCTGATGAAAAAAAAAAAGAATATATAATTGTCTCAATTGAGTATGGAGGACCAACAGTGCCACAACTCAGTGATTCATAAACTGTTAAAGCAGCGATATGTAACTTTTATTTAAAAAGAAAATTATACATTTGTTAAAAGTGTCACTATGTCCTGACTGTATAATAATATGAGAAAGATAATATAATAAAATAAAATAAAAACCCTGAAAAATAAAACAAGCTCCTCTGCCTCCTCCTTGTGGTCCGACTGCCACCTGCAGAAATACTCTGGTCGAAAACAACTAATCAGGGTCAGGATGAATTTCCTTGGCACTGTCAAGACCTCCTCACGACCTCCCTCACAGCAAATTCACGTTCAAGACTGATGCATTGCTGCTACTGTGCCAATGAAGAAGAAACAACCTAATATAACAAAACAAAACTGTTTATCCACCATCATCGGTGGCCATGCTTACTAGCCTGCGCTTCATGACAGGCTCTGCTGTGGAGGAGGAGCTAGCGCTTAGCAGAGAGCACGGGGAGACTGTGAGCAGTGCATGGACAAATATGATTGATAATTTAATTAATAAAGTATTTAATTTAAAAAACATCACAAAAACCTTCTCATGGCCCTCCAAAACACACAAAATAATTAAGTAAATTGTGACTTTTTGGTAGTAAGATACATATTTTATTAACTATATATTTTTATTCCCAATTTTAACAAATTAACAATTCATTAAGGTAACAACTTGACTTGGGTCATAACATAACTAATGACACTATAATTTTATTTAAGTTTTTCTAATAAAATAAACATTTTAATTACATAATTTTTCAAGAAGAAGTTCAACTGAATAAAGTAACACATTAAAGCAGCAATTGCATTATCATTTATTCATTGTGCTTTTGGTCCTCTATGTGCAACAGGGTTGTGTGAAATAATTAGAAGTTAGTTAGATTAGATTTAGTTTTTTTTGTTATAGATTTTACTGATTACATTAATTCCTGACATTCAGCTAATTAGCTGTTTTCATTCCCAGTTTTGACTAATTAAAACATTAATGATTTCACTCAGTATTTATAATAGAATTGTGCTCCATACAAAATTAGCTGATTGAGTTTATTTGAATCAACGTTTCTGTTTTTTAAAAAAACTAATTTGACTATAAAAAAAAACAAAACAAAAAACAAAAACAAAATATATATATATATATATATATATATATATATATATATACATACATTGACAGTAAAAAGACAGATGGATTTCACAAGATAGTCTTTAAAAAAGTGTGATGGGAAAAAAACAACAACCTCTATTTATTCTTCTTCTGCATTTGAGTTGACGTCACCGAAACCACAACAGTCGAGCTGATCAGCTGGTATTTGCAAGCAACTTTTGACAGTTTTTGACAGAAAAGTCTGGTTAGCGCCCATCAGCATGACAGTTCAATTCATACTCTTGTTAATAATCTGTAAGATATGAACTCACTTCCTATTACTTCCTATTTGTTTATTTCAGCAGCATTCTGAAGTAAATCTATAGAAATTCACAGAAAGGCAAGACTATAGTAATATATTTTTTTATTTAGCATTAATTTTTCTGTCTCAGCACTCTTTCATAAGACCATAATGCCTCTGTGCATACTGAGAATTTTCCAATTACATGTGTGTCATGTTGAGTCAAGTGATTTGATGTGGGCGTCCGCCCACTGTTTATAGAAACGTATGTCGGAAAGAAGCGATTTGCAAGCCTTCAGCCTTGACTCAAACATTCCCATTATTTTGATGTCAAGATGTGCTCGCTATTATTTCTCAGATTTATGACAGCTTTTTCCACCTACTTGGTTTCAACCATGCCCTCTCCCTAATGTGTAATTATTCACATTTAAAAAGAATTTTCCAAACAATCTCAAGCAGCAAACTGAGTAAAAGGTTTCACTGAAAAACACAATGAGCTCAAAAAGATGAAGACAACTTAGTTTTCGATCTTTATTGAATCTCATCCTTTCAACTCATCGATCTCTGCTTCTTCCAGAGTCCAGAGAGAGAATCAGTTCTTCCAGCGCCCTCCAGTGGCGGCCTGTGGTTGCGCTTTAACACAGAGAGAGCGGGTTTTGCGCCAATGTGGTCCAGAGAATGTTGTTTCTGTTTGGAGGTCAGTGACTGGGCAAAAAGCACTGTAGTCTTTCAGTCAGTCTACCTGGGCAAATAAATATTTTACATATCTTGTCATATTATATATATATAATGATATAGAAATGATAGGTTTTGTAATCTTTTGTCAGACATAGAACCATAAAAATATATTTATCTTACCAATCTTCCCCCGTAATAATTAGTTGTTTTTTTTATATATATATTCTAATGAAAGTCTGTGATGAGCCCCAAAATCAAAACATTAAATGTTAAATCACATGTAATCTGCGCTCTCAAATAAAATCAGTTGGTCAATGGATTTACGACTGAGACGACGGAAGTTCAACTGAGTAAAAGTGGTCAGAAATGCATAGACAGGAAAAACAAGAGTAGGAAGAAACAGATTGGAAAATACAGTACAGTTACGTACAGTTTCAAGCGATCTGGTCCGAGTCATTAAAAAACAAAAGAACGCACAGACAGAAACTGTTCCAGAAAGTGAGGTAAGACCCATGGTCTCTTAACTCATTATCTACCAAATGACTCCCACAGTTACAGCAAAGGGGCGCTGCCTTTGCAGGTAAAACCTTTCGCAGAGGGGTAAAATAAACCTTTTAAGACAGCTCCCTCTGTGTGAATGTCCCCTCTCCTCTCCCTACGCTGCGTTAAACCCGCAGTTGAAGAGCAAATATGTGTCTAACGCCTGTCAGAGCTCATCCTTCTCCATCTGCTTGAAAGCCTCCAAGTCTTCCCGCCAATCAGCCAGCAGCTCGTCCACTGACTGGCTGCTGGAGTCCGTGTCGCCTCGAGGCTCTTGCGTCTTCTCGGAGTCTCTCTCCTCTTTGGGCCGAGCCGTTTCCGCCTGTGGATCTACGGCTTTTTCCTCCTCTTCTTTTATGACTTCCGCCACAGGACTCACCTCCTCCTGAGCAGGAGTAACTTCCTCAGGAGCCGATTCATCCAACTCCTCCGTGCTCATTTGTGACTGGCTATCGGGTTCAAATGAAGTGGGAGTCTTTGCCTCGGTTTGACAGTCCTCCTCCTCTTCTTGCACATCCGCACCTAGGCAGGAAGCACGGGTGTGAGATGAGGCGTTTTGCATAAAAATGAGTACAAGTCACACATACTTTTTCTTTTTTCTGCCAGTAATCCACACACGCTTCCATTCCAGGTCAAAAATAGAACAGTTTTTATAAAGAGGCTGTCACACTCGAACAGCATGGTGCTGATCGTGAGTCATGTTTCCTGCAGGATATAGCTTTCCTCACATAGCTGTGTAGCCAAACTGAGAGCCAACTGATAAATGGAAAAAAAACAACAAAAAAAAAACAGCACTATGATTTTTTTTAACTAAAGCTGGCAGCAGTGTTTGTCCTGATTCTAAAAATACAGCTGATTGTAACTGAGCAGTTTTCACTTTTAAAGAAATAACGACAGCGCAGACGGATACACGCAGGAATCACCAACGCTGGTTTCCAAATCCCACACCGATTTCATTTCACATTTTTATTACACTCAAATATCCAGGCAGCCCTTTTGTTGAGGAAGGGAGGAAGAAGGAACAGATGGATGGACGCTTGGGTAAAAGAAATGGATGGATGGACAGACAGATATATGGATGGAAGCTCCTGCTTTCGGGTTATGATCATAACTGATCTGGGTTTGTTCAGCCAGTTTCATATTAATTCTAAACACCTGAAACTGAGATGTGAGTTTATATGGATATATGGATGCAAACGTTCCAGTTTTACTTGAAGAGAAGAGGAACAGACAAAGAAAGTGGGAGAAGAAGAGATCACTTACTGCCCTCAATCAGGCTCCCAGGAAGAGGTTTACCTTTGAATATGGCTGCTGCTCACCAACAGGAGTGAAGGCAGCAAGTAAGGAACAGAAAACAAGTAGAAGGGGGGAAAAGAAAGGTAAGGTTACAAGACATAGAGGAAAAAATAATCAGAAAAAGACTTGGATACGAGGTGATGGATCTGCTCCATCATGTCTCGTTATAATCGCAGGGGGTTGGGTGCCTTTGAATAATTCCCTAAATCATTTACACCCCGTGTTTTGTTTTACACAGCTAAGCACATAATGAGGCTCGGCTGATGGGGAGAGTGGAGCACAGTGACGTGATCAGACTTGCAATGAGGAATATGTGAAGTTTGGCGCTCGAGGAAAGGAACAATGTCGCACCTCTGTCTCTGGCTTTGTCGCTCAGCAACACCTCCACCTCTCTGTACTCCTTCAGCGCCTCCAGCAGGATGTTCCCCTCCTTATGAAACAGGAAGAGGAGGGGCAGCGTGATGTCGTCCGTGCTGCGGCCGTCTCCGGCCATCTGGAACAGAGGAGCCGTGTCGCTGCTGCTGCCCTCGTTGTCATCTGAAAGCAAGAACGCAAGTTAATGAGCCGAACTATATGCTTTTTTTAAAATTATTTTACTGCACTTATTATAGCACTCTTTTATTAAAAAGGAAATATTGAAAATGTCATGAATATACAAGGAAGTTTGATAAAGCCCTGTTGCTCCCACGAAGCTCTGTTTAAGCGATAAGCCATCATGTCGGGTGCAGCGGCCTACCAGACTGGATGTCTTCAAAG